CSKTWWTTTTTKGKYCCCCCCCAAAAAAAACRGGAGGAGTGAGACCCATTCTGGACCTGTCTCTGTTCAACAGCTCGATCATGGAGAGGCYGTTCCACATGYTGACAAKCAGACAGGTGCTAAAAAATGTTCACCAGAACGACTGGTTCACCTCCATAGATCTGAGAGACGCATATTTCCACGTTCCCATCATCCGGAAACACTGGAAGTTTCTACGTTTCTCCTTTCAGGGGACCCAGTTTCAGTACAACCGCCTGCCGTACGGTTACTCTCTCGCCCCGTGCACATTTTTCAAGTGTTGGGAAACAGCGCTGCAGCCACTTCACATGGCGGGAATGAGAATCCTCTTTTACTGTATCTGGACGATCTGCTGTTACTGACTCGGTCCAGAGAGGAAGCAGCAGTGCAGACCCAGAAGCTGGCGACACACCTCCTGAACCTGGGGTTTTCCATAAACTGGGAAAAAAGTTCTGTTCTCCCATCCCAGAWGATTGTTTATCTGGGGGTGGAGCTAAACTCAGTGACACTGAGAGCCCGACTGTCACAGCCGAGAGCCGACGCTTTGTCAGCGCAGCTCCACCGCATTAGGCCTCGCAGTGTAGTGACAGCTCTGTCAGTCATGCGTCTGTTGGGAATGATGTCAGCGGCTCACGTGGTGGTCCCGCTGGGGTTGCTGCACATGAGACGCCTCCAGAGGTGGTTCGCCTGGCTGCGCATAGACCCTGTGCATCAGAAGAGGCACATGATCTCWGTTCCCCCCTCAGTGGGAGCAGATCTGGCCCACTGGGGGACCCCCAGCATTCTGTTGAGGGGGTTCCCCTCAGCAGACCTACGTCACACGTCTCAGTGTTCACRGACGCTTCCCTGTCAGGATGGGCAGGGACGTGTCTKTCTCAGGTGGTGGGWGCSAAGTGGCCCGACCACATGACCCTGCACACAAACGTGTTGGAGCTCCTCACGGTGCTGAAAGTGACTCAGCACTTTCTTCCTCTGMTGYGGGATCAGCMTGTTCTGATCCACACRGACAACAGAGTGGCAGCCACGTACATAAACCGCCAGGGAGGCGTGCAATCAGCGCAGCTGCTAAATGTTGYCAGACAGCTGCTGTGYKGGGCATGCGTAAACCTGCTCTCCATCAGAGCAGTGTACAYTCCCGGCGTCCTGAACAGGAGAGCTGACATCATGTCCAGGGGCGGTCCTCGTCACGGAGACTGGAGTCTCCATCCCAACCTGATCGCTCAGATCTGGAGCAGATTCGGCAAAGCGGAAGTGGATCTGTTYGCCACACGGGAGAATGCGCAGTGCCGGCTGTGGTTCTCACTGAGCCCGAGGGAGGATCCACCACTAGGGGTGGATGCCTTCGCTCACAGTCCGTGGCCAAAACTGCTTCTTTACGCGTTTCCTCCAGTCCTGCTGATCCCACGGCCCCTGGACCGAGTTCAGGAGGAGGAGCTGTCCGTGGTCCTGGTGGCACCGGAACGCAAAAATGCGCYGTGGTTTCCGAGCCTGCAGCAGCTGGTTTCGGGCCAGCCGTGGCAGCTTCCATGGAGGGAGGACGCGCTCCTCCAGGCGGGGGGAACGATCAGGAGTCACCCAGAGATAGGTCAACGTCTCTGGGTCTGGTCGCTGAGCRGGAGCGCTTAGAGGGGCTCGGTCTCCCGCAGGATGTGATGCGCACRATCCAGGATGCACAAGCCGCTTCCACTACAGCGCTATATGCATCAAAGTGGTCAGCTTTTCAGCGCTGGTGCGCGGAAAAAGGAGAGGAGGCCATTTCATGTCCTTTAGGCTGCGTGCTGTCTTTTCTCCAGCAGCTGATGGACAGGAAGTTAGCTTTCACCACCATTAAAATGTATGCTGCAGCTATTTCCTYATGCCAYGAGGGTTTTGGCGACAGAACTGTCTTTAACCACCCGCTGACGAAGCGTTTTCTGAGAGGTGTGYGGAGATGMAGACCTGTGTCAYGCCCACTCGTTCCYTCGTGGGATTTAGCGCTGGTTCTGCGCGCACTGGTTAAAGCTCCATTTGAACCTTTAGACCAGGTTCCTCTTATGTTTCTGTCCTTTAAAACAGCTCTGCTGWTGGCCCTCACATCTGCAAAGAGAGTGAGTGATTTATCTGCGCTCTCTGTYGCTCCCTCATGCCTGAGAATACGAGCAGACCACAGSTTAGCTGTGCTGCGTCCCAACCCTGCTTTTACCCCTAAAAGCTTAACTAGCTCGTTCAGATCGAGAGAGATAACCTTGGATGGTTTTTACCCTACTCCTCATAACTCTGAGGAGGAAGCCTCGTCTCATCTCCTCTGCCCTGTGCGCACGCTCTCGTGTTACGTGGCTCACACGTCTGCTCTGCGCCACTCAGCGTCTGTTTGTGCATTACAGAGAGAACTCTGTGGGACGTCCTCTGTCTGTTCAGCGCCTCTCACTCTGGTTGTGTGAGGCGATTTCACAGGCTTATGTTTCCTCTGGCCTGGATCCTCCAGAGAATCTGAGAGCTCACTCCACCAGAGGGATTTCTTCCTCCACAGCTCTGTGTGGAGGAATGTCTGTGGATGACATCTGCACAGCGGCCTCCTGGTCATCTCCGTGCTCATTTATTCGTTTTTACCTGCGTGACGTTTCCGCATTCTCCACGACTCATTCTGTTCTCATGGTTGTGACAGAATGATTTTTCTGTTTCCTTTTATTATTTGTTGAAACAACATGCTCTGTTCCTCATCACACTGTTACAGTTCGTTACCTGCGTTGTTCCTTTTCACAGCAGCCTGCGTGTTTTTTCAACCTCTCTGCCAGAGATTTTCTCCTCCATGGTGCTCTGCTCTGCAGTTCACATGGAGTGCTTAATTATGGAGGATGTTTGACCTGCTCTGTTCCTCGTTAGACTGTTACAGTTCGTAACCTTCATTGTTCTGATTCACAGCAGCAGGTTTGTTATTTTAACATTTTAACCAGAGTGTCCTCCTCTCTGGTTATCTGAAACACCGGGGTTCTGGAGTGAACTCATTTCAGGCTGTGAGTGTTTTTTTATGTGCGAGCAGATGCTTCATATTATGGTCTGAATGGACCCAGTGAGGCATAGACTACATCCAGCTTCGCCTTTAACCCACTAGCGATAGCCTTAAAGGGCGAAGCCTATTCGAAATAGAACGTTGGTTTCGTATTGTAACCCCAGATTCTATGAGTATAGGTGCAGCCCTTTAAGCTATGGGCCTCATTGGTTCCTAATTGGCTGAAGAAAAAGTCTTTTAGGGAGCCGATTGTCCAGTTTGACTGCTATTTATACAGACCGGGGGAGGCCCACCCAGTGGGTGGGCGTGGACTACGAGTTTTCAGTGTTGAGCTGCACGCGAGGGATTAACCCTACTAGCGATAGCCTTAAAGGGCTGCGAATATACTCATAGAATCTGGGGTTACATTATGTAACCAATGTTTCCCTGTGATAAACATGTCAGCAGTTCCATGTCAGTGTTTTCTTTCATTAAATTAATCAGTTTTTTCTTCATTACGTCTGAGGCTGATACATTACCACTGCATATAATTTTCACAAACACGTCACTTGATACCACTGAAACTAAAAATGCAACAGAAACGGCTGAACGTGTGCTGTGTTTGCCATCTTATTGACATTAACCCAGAACATAACACAATGGCAGACGGAAGTAAAAAAAACATCAAATAAACTGAGGGCTCACCTGAGTCCGTCACAAGTACTGATGCTGACAGATGATCCACTGTCATTTACAATCTTTCCATGGTAATAACAATAATCCTGGGAAGGACAGACAATCAACACAAGACGTGTCTCATTGTTTTGTTGAGATTGTTTACTTGCATTCACTTTTATGCATCATAAAATTAAATAAAAAAGCATTTGAAGCCTTCTTTTAAAAAACATACAACTTATAACAAACAGTTCCTTTAACTGGCAGTGAGTCACATTTTATCCTTGAAGAAATCCAGCAAAACTCACAATGTCATCTGGGTCTGTGGTGACTAGACTTCCATCTTCCTGGTAGTAGGTCTCTGTGTAGCCTTTGGCTAACAATTTGCTAACAAAAAACAAACAAACACAAACTAGATAGTAAATAACAGCTTTAAAGACAGGCTGAACTTTATTTTTCTCTTCAGACCTGGTATTCTCTTTGACTTTATGACCGAGTGAAGCAGCAACAATAAAAATGTAAATGATAAGAGTGATTGAGGTATGTCTTTTTAAATGTTTTACTACACATTTGACTAAAGATAGAGCAGTTCAGTGAAGTGTGCTGTTGTAAAAGTCAAAACATACTTATTTTTTTCAAGTTGCATCTCGATGTCTCTTCCTCCCACAGTCATTGCATACTTCATCGTCTCTGGTCTAAGGTGCTAAAGTGGGGAAGATGCAGGTAAAACACAGGGAATTATTAGCTTTATTCTTATTTTTTATTTAATATCTGATCATGCAATCAAAACTGGTTCATAACTTGAGTGAAGATGCAGATAAGTCAAAATAATCTGTACAAAAGGCACTACTGTTCAGTTGTCATTGGATTTGAAAGGTACCTCTGCATTTCTTTTGCTGACTGTGTGAAGTCTGACAGGTCGAACCACCTCRTAGTYTTTGCTCTCTTTGAACTCTGGATTATGGCTTTCTGTGGAGACACAACAGGCACACAACAGACACACAACAGACAYACAGGTGAAAATGTAAACATAGGTTCATATGGCTAATAAAACACCAACAGGTAAGATTTTTGACAATAATTACTGTTGGTCACATGCGTTCAAATGTTGCCTGATTAAAGAAAACAAAAAAGGTTTTTAATTTGAAAAACATTTTTGTAACMGAARGAKCAAAACATTTCCCAGTTGTAATAAAAATTCCAAATTAAAATTTAGAAATAATGTTAAAGGAACATTAATACAACAAGATAAGCTATTGCAAAATAGTGAAATTTTGAACCTGAGCCAACATCCTGAGGGTTCTTTTTTATATCTCTCAGATCAGCAGACTAAACATCTCCATTTGGAGCCCACACCCACAGGTGGAGGAGCTCTGGCCCTGGGGTGTGCAGAACTTCATTTGAGATAAACCATGATGTCTACAAAATTAACAGAACTGACCACACAGGTAGGAGATGAGAGAAAATTAGGACAGAAATGCTGTAATTACAGTATGAGATGTACATAGTCTCAGTGCAATTAATAACAGTGTGACTTGTTACAGGACTGACACTAGCAGTGAAGCTCCTTTTTGGTAAAAGTCAGTCATTGTGATCAAAAAATAAAATGTCTTTATAAAAACAAACATAATTATTTTAAAATCATGACAGAAGACCTGTATTTTGTGCAGATTCTCCTTCTATTGTCTAAATTATTACTTCTTCATTGTGTTCCTTTTTGGATACCATTTTTAAATGAMTTTGAAAAGCACTACTCTAAGAAAACACTGCACCCTGACAATTTAACTGAAGATAAAAAAGGCAGGAAATGTGTAGGAACATTAAACACCTGTGGTTGACATGAATGCTTTGTGCAGTGTGGTTGTGGTGTGGTTGTCACTGTGCTTCTGTTTAACTGTTTACTAAAATAGAAACTTAATTTGTGTTTGGTGTTTCGGCYGTGGGAGGTCACAGTACAAACAGTTGAAGCCATCTGTCCATTTTCTTTTTCTGCTTTTCTTTCCTGGGCTGCGGTGGACCTGGTGCCAATCTACTACTGTCATTGGAGGTGGGTACACCTGGGACAGGTTCCAAGTCCATCACAGGGACACAAATAATTGTTCATGTTCACATGTAAATCCACGTGTGCGTGAGGAAAACATACTTCAACTAGAAAGGCCCCAGTGGMTCCTGTATCTTCACCTCACAGCTCTAACCCCAGCATCAGGCCTCTTCCAGTTGAAGCCAGTCARTGACACAGTTTCATACAATGTGGGGTCCATCTTTTTTATCTGATATAGGTAACAAGTCCTGTGTTCTGTGTGCAGGCAATCAATCCCTGGTTTGACTGTTTTCAGCAGGAAAAAGTCCTGGACAAATCACATTCTGTCAGACTCTGCTGTAGCTGCACACTCTCTTTGACATCCTGAGCCTCAGTCGTTGTGTTTCCACCCAATTTTAATGTGGATAATGGTTTAATAAAAAAGTGGATTTTGAGCAAAATTTTAAAAATGTCAAAAAAAAAAAAAAGGAAATGAGCATCGCACGTGTCCATCAACTGACTTGGAGTGAATCAGCCAGGCTACACAAAGTAATTATGTCAGACATTGACATTACACATGACCGTAGTAAACAGGAAGTAAAGACACAAACTCATAGGGACACATCTCAGGACAAATGAGAGAATTTATCAGGAACTTGTTTCTACTATTAGGCAAGTTGTAATTCTTCTGTCATATCGACTAGTTTTGTTAATGTTACATGTCGTCTGGAGACGTAGACAAATGCAATTYTCTTCACGTTACGGGAATATCTGAGAAGACACGGACAGCAGGAGGAGGGTCCAGCTGCAGCGGGAACAATTATTGGACAGCAAGAACAGCTGATGGAGGAAAATGTTCAYTAAATCAGAACTTATTCAGCAAACGTGTTTCCATCTCCTCTCTTTTTTGTAAAATCCAAAAAACATCTCAAGTGAGCGTAAAWTTTTTTT